GAGGGCGGAGGGTGCCGGTCTCGGCTGTGCCCCCGGAGGGAGCGGGGCGGCTGCGCTGACCCCGGTGGGCGCCCGTCACCGAGCGCCGCCCCCGCCCCCTTCAGCTTCTCTGTCACTTTATACACGTCTTAAATACCTCACCAAACTCATCGAGAGTGATTCCCATCGCCCTGTACGTTTCAGTGCCTTGTATTATAAAAAAATACAAAAATGCATTACTTGTAATAAAATTTACGAAAAAGAGAACATTCAGGTTTAGGACAAAGTGTCTGCGAGGAGTGTTTTGACCCATGGTGATTTTTAGAAGGTTAAACGCGTTGCAGCAGAAAAAGGCATGTGCGTTCACAGGGTGTGGGGTGTAAAGATGGAGAAAATAAAACATTAGTAAAATTGGGCTGCTCTTTAGAAAGTTGCAAGTTTGTCACAGAACGTTTTCTTAAGGAAAGCTTATTTTGATTACTGCTGTTTAGCCCCACTCAGTAGTGAACAAGAAGTTATACGCCAGCCTCCATTTGTGATCGTTCAAGTTTATCGCATTTCATTATATTGTCTTTACAATCTGGAATGAAACAATTTCAGCGTGTTCCTGTCTCCATCCCAATACAGGTTGTGGGGTGACCATGGGCAAGAAGCTTTGGAGTCTGCCCATGTTTGCGTGATAAATGCAACAGCGACAGGAACCGAAATCCTTAAAAACTTAGTGCTGCCAGGTAAGTAGACATCTCGGCTGTGTTTTCTTTGTAATGTGTCTGATAATTTCATAACGCCCAGTTATTGATAGTGATTTTTTTCCCCCAAGGTATCGGTTCGTTCACAATCGTCGATGGTAATCTGGTCTCTGGAGAAGACGTTGGAAATAAGTAAGTTTGTTACTAGTTTCCAGTACAAGTTGAGAAGTAGCAGGGTTTCATGAGTAGTTCCTTCTCTGTACTTGTTAAGAAATCCTATAAAGTTCTTAATAATTTTAAAAGCCTCTATTTGTTTCTCCCAAGTTTTTTGTGGTTTTGGGTGTTTGTGACGTATGTGGCATGCACCATCATTTTGATATTAGCTGCTAAATTTTACGGTTTTTTAGTTACTGGTTTTGTATCTCACAGGTATGTTTGCTTCACAAGTCAACTTTCTACAGACTATGGTCTTCTCAATATAAAAGTATTTTAAAATAACTTGTTTGCTGTAATCTTGAGATATGCCAATGCAAGACTGCTTGTGTTTCAGCATGTATTTTCCATCATTCTGGCGATGGAGATAGCTTACTGTTCATTAGTTTATCACTGTGGAACTGTGAGCGATAGCCATTAATTAGCTGTCATGGCTTTGGAAGGCTGTGTGCAGCAGGGAAAGGGTAAGAGACTCTCTGCAAGTCCTATAAAAATAATTTATTTACTAATTCTAGATCATCTTCTCTTATGGTTTAGGTAGATACCTACAAGTATCTGTCTACTTACTGGGGTTATATGAGGGGGAGGGATATTCCATTATGTGAAGAAATGAGAACTGACGGGTCTTTAATTAGCCTAGTGAAAACGAATCTGTGGTGTGATCCAGCTTCTAGGGGAGTTTGGCATATCTTATTTTTCAGATTTGTGGCTCAGGCATTGGAAAGTTTCGTTAAGAAACTGATCGTGAGGAAAATATACCAGCTGTGGGGAGAAGAAAGCAGGTTTAAGGGGGAACTTGGTTTGTCATGCATGAGAATCAGCAGCATATTCTGCACTACAAAACATAGCTCTAATGTTGTTTTTCTTCAAAATAAAACTTCACGTGTAACTCTTGTCTCCTTTCCAGTTTCTTTCTACAAACAAGTCATATTGGTCAGGTAAGCAGATGTCACCGTAGGTGTCTTGAAATCATGAAAAGTATTGAGTAAATACTGAAATGTAGTATTATGAGTAATGCTAAAAACATGTATTTATAGGTTAAAATCTATTTATTCTTTGAGAGAATTCCTCATGCTTACTTTATAGTTGCTCGTAAGTCAGAAGATAAGCTCAATTCTGGCAAGATTGAATGGAAAAATGAACAGGATATGGTTAGGAAAATCTTTGGAAGGATAAGGTGGAGGAGAATTGTGGCTGAAGGAGTAAAGCTAAGAGTAGAGAGGTGAATGGGGCGAAAAAATCACAAAACCAAGGGAGTACAAAAGGCGTGGGTAACTCCTGAAATTAATGAATAGCTGTCACATTTTTGTTTTTAAAATGGTATTACTAAAAATGATCTCAAACAAGTGCCTGCTGTTAAGGGATTTATTTTTTCTCCAGATAAGCAAGGCTTGGAATAAGAAAGTCCTTTTTTTTGTTTTGTTATTTTGTTTTTAACATGTAGCATGTGTAGTACTGATGTACTGTATAAATTACATTTCAAAAGGTTAAACATTGTTTTGACTGTTCTGAAACAGAATCGTGCCCAGAGTGCCACTGAGCTCTTGCAAGAATTGAATAGTGATGTTTCTGGAAACTTTGTCGAAGAGGTTTGTTTTTCTAAATTTGTTGTACGTTTCTTGTTATACAATGTGATAAAAGCATCGAGTAATAGCTATGTGTTGTCTTTGTAAGTAGCTTTATGATAAAACAACATTTGAGGAAGAAGATCTTGCAAAAAGTCTGTTTATGTATTTTAAACATTTTATAACTTCTTCGTAAGTAGAAGCTTTTCACTTAATGCTTTACATTGAATGTTGAACAGGCTTGGTGTGTATTCAGAAATTTTCAGTGTTTTCTGACAGTTTTTTTTCCCTCTTATTTAGAGTCCAGAAAAACTTCTAGACAATGACCCTTCCTTTTTTAATCGGTTTAACTTGGTGGTTGCAACACAACTACCAGAAAGGTAAAGAATCATCCACAGTTGTTTGTTTTCATTCAGTTGTAAAAGCAGGCTTCAATCGCAGGCATATTCTTGCAGGAAAACTTATGCAAGACAGAACTCTCTCACTGTGAAGGAAGGTTACAGTAAATGACGGCATTTTTCTATGGACCTTTTTATATGGTAATACCTAGTTTAAAATCTCTTTCTGGTCCATGCCTGACTCCGAAGTGCTGTCTCCAGGTGTATTTGTCTATGTCAAGTACTCTTTTGTAGTGAAAGCTGTTTCTGGTCCAGAATCGCTATAACAAGTGTTCCTCAACAGTAAACCCCAACAGATAATAGGAGCTCTGATAGCTTTAGATTTTTGCAGATGTATTTTATGGTTTGTATAGCTCTTTCCATTTTACTCATATATGTAACTATATTGCCCATATAAACTTTATCAAGATCAGAAGTTCTTGATTTTTAGGTGGGTTTTTTTTATCCGCTTCCTGCTTTTTTTTTCCTGCTGAGACGCCTCTCCCATGCTGCCTTCCAGTAAATAAAGCAGGTGACAAATGGCAACTCTCAGAGCGTTGAGGAACTGGAGGAGAAGAGCATGCTGCCGTTTCAGTAGACAGGCTGCCTCCCCAGAGGCGAGAGCTTGCTGGAGAGATGAATAGTTAAATCTTGCTTTTGTAAGGAAGTGGCTGTTGTTCATAGTTTATATATTTCTCTGTCCCCCTACATACAGAGGAGCTAGAGATGCTGTCTGTTACAGAAGTAAGAGCCAGCTTGCCTCTTTGGGGCGGCGATTCCCCTACAGGCATTTGTGAATAAAGGGTATTTCTTATGTGCTATTCAAAACCGTCTCATGGGAATTGCCCCTATGGGAAGTTATGTTTGTACAACACACAGATCTAGTTTTTTTCTTTCTTTCACAACTCATTGAAGTTTTTTGTTTAATTGATATTTGGATCATTTGGGAGGATGGCGTTAAATATAAGGAAGCTAATGGATAAATGTATTTCTAACTAGTGTAAATTCACATATAAAATTAGTCACCTTATATGTGCTTTGAATCATGATAATATTCGAGTTCTCTCAGAAAACTTCTCTTTTCACAAGTGACTTGTACAAGAGTTAACTTTCAAGTTAACTGCTGTCCTCTTGTACATCTGAAAAGAATAAATATGTGTTTCCTTACAGTACGTTGCTGCGCTTGGCTGAATTTCTCTGGAATTTTAATGTTCCTCTGCTGGTCTGCAGGACTTATGGACTGGTTGGTTATATGAGAGTCGTTATTAAAGAACATACAGGTTAGAGGGTTTTCTGAGATAAAAACTTTGCTAAAAGGTTGAAAGCTTCAGTATGTAATGTCACTTTGATTTTTTTCTTTTATCTTTATCTTGTGATGTATTTATTATTTGTTAAGTCTTACATGGTTTGCGGTTCATCACCAGGAGCGTCCTTTGAGGAACGCATAGAAATTATGGACTACAACAAATAGTAAAATTGGAGATGGTCCTGACATTAAAGTTAACTTACACAAAACACTTATTTTGGTAATCAGGCAGTTAAACGAGCAGACAATGCACTGCATTTGATGTATAGCTCTGTTTTAAAGGCTGGACATAAACCCGTGAAATGCGTTGTGTAATTTTTTTCACAGTTGTTGAATCGCATCCTGACAATACATTAGAAGATCTGAGACTGGACAAACCATTTCCAGAACTGAGGGAACACATTCAGTCATATGACTTGGATCAGATGGACAAAAAGGTTGGTGTGTGGTTTGCACTAAGTGCTCTAAGACAGATGCAGACACAGAACAGGGATTTTATGAAAACGGCTCTTGGCAGATTACTTTTTGGTGCTGAGTCTCATCTGAGCAGAGGCAACTGTAGAATCAGTCACCAGGTGGTATTTTTGGCTTCTGCTCCAAACATTGCAATCTGTATTTAAACCCTAAGCAAGTGGGGGTCTTGGGAAGTAAGGAATATTCTTGGACAACTTGATCTTCTGTTAGATGGATTCCCCCTTGCCCCTTCCCCTCCCCCCTTTTTTTAAAATTTTATTTTTATGATTACCTACTGCTGCAGAGCTTTGGTACATAAAGTAAGTTCCACTCCAGAAAAATGTTGGAGAACTTGGCTCAGCCACCCTTCTTTTAAGTAAAGGAATAATAATTTAATAATTTGATTTATGGTAGTTAGAGAACGTTATTTCTGAATCAAAATCTGGAACATGTCCTGTGTTTTTATAATAGCTGAAGGGATGTCAGGAGTTTACATTTACAGTAAGTTTTTAATTTGTCTCCTGTTTTTATCTTTGCTGAACTTGACAAAGATTTCTCTGCTGTTCAATTACAGGACCATAGCCACACTCCATGGATTGTGATTGTAGCCAAGTACCTAACAAAATGGTTCAACGAGGTATATTGCAAAACTGGATAAGTAATCAGTCTATTATTATTACTTTAGATATGTCTTTTCTAAGCTAGATTATTATTTTGGCAATTTTTGCAAATATAATAAAGAAAACAAGATAGAATCATAAAAAAATTACTAATTTGAATACCATGTGAATGTATGGGAACAGTGACAAACTCTAGAGTTCACCTGCCTGAACACAATGAGGACAGTAGTAGATATTTTAAAGACAAAATGTTTTTGTGTTTTTAAATCTAGAAAAGCGATCAGTTGCCTAAGAGTTACAAAGAAAAAGAAGCCTTTAGACAACTCATTCGGCAAGGTAATACATGTCCCACGAGTCACTTACTCATAGTGGCAGAAATATATAAGGCAATATCTGAAAAAAAAAAATAATCAGAAGTTCTCTTGGGGTTAATTTATGAAAATCTGCTGGCATATACAGTACAATTCTTCTGCTAAATGATTTTTTATACAGGTGGATCTTAAGATCCCAGATTTGTTTATAGATGCAGTGTGGCAGTGTTTCTTACTGTCTGCTGTTCTAGATCAAGAGTATGTTTTGATTTGGTTGGGAGGTGAGGCCTTCAGACAAAACCCTGTAGAAAATGTTGATGTTTAACATGGAAAATGTGACAAAGAGGAAGGCAAGTGGCTTTTGACACCAAAATTGTTATTAACTGGGAATATGTGGTTGGTCAGTTGACCCACCGAACTGTTTGTAATCATTGCAGCTCTAAATAACTAGTCTAGAGAGACAGAGAGAGATGGTGTAGCTACAGAATACACTGTAACCCGTATATGAACAGACTTCATTTTTGCAGACATTTAAATCTAATACCTTTTGCAGATGCTAAAATTAATGAGGCATTTTTAAGATACAGAAATACATTATCTTAAATGATTGTGGAATAAATCATTAACTGAATTTTTGGTATTTCCTCATTTAAAGCTGGCCTGGGTGCATATTCCTGAGTGATTCTCCCATCCTTATCCCCAGGTTGGGCTAGGGAACTGGTCTGATCTGTAGTCATTACCTTTGGTTAAATGAGGTTTTTAGTTGAGTCCACTTCTTGGTCTGGCTTGCTGTGTGGGTTCACAAGTGTTTGCCAAATTTGACCAAAAATACCCCACACAGCATGACTGAGGATGGGAAGGAGAGTTGAATTGCCTTTCTACCACCATCTACATTCATTTAGTGATTACGAAACTTTACTCTCTTTCTCACACAGACTAGTATTTTCATGATAAGTAACTTCTATTTAACATCACAGGAAAATTAATTGTATGCAGAATATATGTGTAGTTAGTTTTATCAGTACATCTTACTGGTAACTCAGATTTTGCTGATTAGTTATTATGCCACAGATACATCCAAAGCCAGTCTGCTCTGTTGGTTAGACCTAAATGATACGTATTTCAGGGGATTATGTTGGTTTTTTTTTCAATAAGGTATCTTAAAGAATGAAAATGGGACCCCAGAAGATGAGGAAAACTTTGAAGAAGCTATAAAAAATGTGAACACAGCATTAAATACCACAGAGGTAAAATAAATATTTATATGACAAAATGGAAGAAATTTAAACTACCTCATTTTTTCAAAACATATTATGCACTTTTAGGACAGGAATTCCATTTGCAACATTTATATTTAGGTAAAACAGGATTAGTACAATTTTTAAAATTGAAATCATGTGTAGTAAAATAGACGTAGGCTAGATGGCACTGTAGTTTATGGAAATTCTTTCATTTCCTTGCTCATACAAGGAAGCTACATTTCCTTCCTGAAGACTTGGAATTCAAGTGTAGAATGAGTCAGTAACAAGAGTTCATTAGTAGTGTATTCCTGTCTTAGACTTTATCAGATTTTCTTTACAGATTAAACTGTAAAGTGCTTGGTATAATTATAAAGAAGTAGCAGTCATCAGTGGATGACGTCCAATTTATGGCTAGGAGAAAGACTCAGAAAGCATAAAGTGTTCAAGGCGAGGCTGGACAGGGCTTGGAGCAACCTGGTCTGGTGGAAGGTGTCCCTGCCCAGGGCAGGGGGCTTGGAACTAGATGATCTTTAAGTTCCTTTCCAACCTAAACCATTCTGTGATGGTTGAAATTGTGCTATACTGAAGCTGCTTGCTATAGTATTTATTCTATATAGAAATGAAATGCTGCAAGGGACCCTTGACTCAGCAAATTCAGTACTTTCTGCTTGAAGAAGCGTGCTATGAAATTCTTTTCATAAACTGATCGAGCTTAAAAATATTAAAAGTGAAGTTTTCATTTTTTTTAAATAATCCTGAAGTAGCAACTCACGGTTTAGACTTGAGCTCTGATTGCCTTAATTTCTCATCCATGGTAAATTGCAAAAGCACATTCTGTGATTCTTTCTAGATTACATTCCGTTTTTATTTGACCTGTGCTGATCCTTGCTTGGACAGTTAAGTCTCCCAAGAAAGCAGCAGGTAAAACTTAGTGCTGATGTCTGAGCCACTACAAGCTGTGTCCTAGGTTGTTAGTGGTTTATTCCAGTTTATGTGCCAGACTGAACCACAGCAGCCAAGGAGTCAAAACACTCAGTTTTGCAGCCCTTCTTCGATTCCCTGGCCTTTTTGCTGCTCTGCCTCTAGGGGGTAGGATGGGCAGCTGGGACTGGTAGTACCTTTTGCTGATGCTGCCACCATTTGTTTTTTTTTAAATCTTCCATGTAGAAGATGGAAATAGGTGAGATTTTGTTGGTAACGTTCATCTTGATTAGAAGCATGTGTCTTGTTCTCAGGCGGTGCTGCTGTTTATGTATTTCTGAGAAGCACTGACTATGTAAGATTCAGAAGAGGTTTTGATACAAAACTCTGAGGTTGCTTAGAGTTGGACCACTTAGGTAATGAGCATTGAGATAATTCACAAAATTGAAAGTCAAGTAAATACAACGCCCTTTTTTTTTTCTTATAGATTCCAAGATGCATTGAAGAGATTTTTAATGATGATTGCTGCATAAATCTCACAGAGCAGGTAATAAGTAACTAAGGGTAAGACTTAAATGTAGAAAAAGCATCATAAATAACATCTGTCTACATGACTGCCTCTTGTGCATTTGCAGTCATCCTCCTTCTGGATTTTGGTTCGAGCTGTAAAGGAATTTGTGGCAAATGAGGGGCAAGGAAGTTTGCCTGTCCGGGGCACTATTCCTGATATGATAGCGGACTCCAATAAATTCATCAAATTGCAAAATGTGTAAGTATACAACTTTCTCTTTCATAGGTACTGATGATAGTAAATGGCGATGACTTCAGACCTCACAAAGTGCATAAATTCCTGTCTTTTAAAAACAAAAAAAAGTGCGTCTGTGGGAGTGGGGTGCAGAGGGGTGTGGGAAGCACGGCAGCCTGCGGCTGTCTGCTCCCTGGATGGATGCTGTCCATTGTTTAGGACCAGCGCCTAAGCCTTCAGCACATCCCAGTCTCTGAAGGCTGGGTAGTAAGTGATCACTTTCCTTAACTTCCGATCTAGTAAAGAGCTTCCTGTAGAGAGTAGATCCCATAGCCCAGCAACTGCTGTCCAAAGCAAATGGCTGCTTAAACACAGCCTTTGGTTTTTCTCCTCAATATGTCTGTCAACCTGCTTACAGAAATTCTAGTTTCCCAAGTGTTTAATTCTAAATACTTCATTCTAATTCATGGCCTTTGAAGGGATTGCTTGGTAGATAAGGAAGGGCATGAATGAATACTTACTGCAAATTCTAAACAGCATCAGCATGGATCAAGATTTTAGGAAGGCCATCTTTGGCCTTCAGGTATCCTCAACATGAACTTACTATTCCTCTGTGTCCTGGACATGATGCAAATTGTTGGGCCAGAAAGACTTTCTTACAGTGTTACCACATTTTCTTTGCAGTTGATTGCGTCTTCCTCCTCTTGTTACTATTTTTAAAATCAAGCAGTATCTTGCAGAAGACTTAGTTAAATTTATTGTCTGTGCAATTGTACTGTTGAATTGTTCAAATGAGAAAGTATTATTTCTAATAGATTTTGGTTGTTTCTCCATAGATTCCAAAACACAACCTCTACTAGAAAAAGGATTGTGTGCCTTAATAGTGTTTACTAGTCGAAATGAAATCTGTAATTTTAGAGGTGTGTTCTTCAAAACTGTGACAGATAGCATTAAAAAGACAGATATAAACCCACAAATCTGTTACATGTCTAAAATAATTGATTGCCATTGCTTCACAGAAACAACTCCATATAATGATAGTAAAGCCAAGAACTTGTATCAATATTTTGCTAAATGAAACCATAATTGCTTGAATTTGCACAGATACCCTAACTTGTAAATCTGAATTCTATAAGCATCAGTCCTGAATTTCCAGATCATTATGTGCTTCATTTCTCAATTCAGTAAGCATTACAGGGTTTTAATTTGCAGATATAACAATTACAGTCCCTTAAAATGAGCTCTTAAATAGAATTTTATTAAATACTGTGGTGTTGAGATGTTTGCATTGTCATAGGTCATAATGAAACTAAGATACTATGGCTACAAATATTAAACTACAGAAATTAATGAAATACTAGAAGCCTAATGAAGGATGTATAGCTGTTGTTCTGAAACTACTTAATATTCTACCTCTCACTGTTCATAGTAATACTCATTTTAATTTTAACCAGTTTCTAAACCACACGTTTAGTGAACAGCTCAGCAGTGAACACTTATACAGGGAGGTAATAAGTGCATTCATGGCCTTCGGGTGGCTCACTGCCATACATGTGGCTTGTATTTTGTCTTTATAATATAAAACAAAAGGTAGTGGTCTTTGCTGTGAAGTTGATGGTTTTCTGCTGTAATTATTAAGACAACTTCTTTATTTTTAACAGATACCGTGAAAAAGCAAAGAAGGATATTGCTGCTGTGGGTAACCATGCTGCTAAATTGTTACAATCCTTAGGCAAGGTAATTACAAATGTACAGCCATTCTGACAGGATAGAAATATTTTTACCTGGATGTTCTGTACAGAAATAAGTCAGAAGAGACAGATGTGAAAAGAGAAGGCTTAATTACCTCATTCTCTTCAAAAGGCTCAAGTAAGCTCTAATGACATTGAATATCTGTGGTCTGTTTTATTTACCATTTTTGGCTTGGTCGTATAAAAGTAAATGGCATACAGGAATATATTATTTACTTTTTAAAATATGGTGGTTTTTTCAAGAATGACTAGTTGTTCCACAATGAATATATGAATATCTCTGAAAATATGAATTCTCTGGTCATTGTATGTACTGGAATGAGTATGTTCTCTCTTTCAGGCACCCGAAGCTATTTCAGAGAGAGAACTAAAATTGCTTTGTGAGTAAGCTTGGATTCTGTTGCTGTGTTTGTGCAAATGATCAAATAATCAAAAACTTCTGAATCACAGAATGGTTTAGGTTGGAAAGGACCTTGAAGATCATCAAGTTCCAACCCCCCTGCCATAGACAGGGACACCTCCCACGCCAGTGTAGTTATTAATCAGTAACTCAGTATTTGAATTTTTCAAATAAGTGCTTAGCAGTTGCATCACTCATCTTCAGTTGAAGTAAGAGATGTTCAGCATCTCTCACTAGTGCGTCTATAAAGGTTGGCTTTTAAAAGATGTGATAATTTTTCAGGTCCAAACAACAGGTGGCAGTTGTAATCTATTTTCTGTGATTAGTACTTAACCACTGGTGCCCATTCTGTGATACTGACTTCAGAGTGCATGCTCTGTCAGACTCTGGTAGTGTGAAAAGGTAGAACAGTGATGCAGTTATATTCTAGAAGTAAATAAGCACAAAGTATTCCACTAAAATACTTGTGATCATAGACCTAAATGTAGTTTAATAGATTTTATTATGGCAAGCTACCAGAATAAACATAGAAGTGTTAAATGAAATTATGGTAAGGTTTAGTCTTTCATGTTAAACACATTGGATATACAAACTTCAGTATTTAATTAGTAGTATTAATTATAATTAATATATATACACACAAAATAAGATACTAAAGTCTCTATATAGTATACTATTTAGTAAAGATTTAGTAATTGGTGACGCATTCAAGTAGGTAATGCTGTCTTTTCTGCACCCTGTGCTTAGGCAGCAACTCGGCTTTTCTCCGAGTAGTACGATGTAGATCTCTGTCTGAAGAATATGGTTTAAACACTTTTAACAAGGATGAAATCAGTAAGTACTCCTTTTTGGCACATACTTTATTGCATTTTTAATTTGAAATGGTTTTGTGATCAAAAAGAATTGTATGTTGCACATTCTGTTTCATTATGCAGTTTTACAATTTGGCATCAACTAGATTTTTTTTTTAGTCTAGAATGTTGAGTTCAATTTGATTTTGAAGGTTCAAAAATGACATTGCAGATTGATGGATGTTTCAGGGTTGTTTTTTTCTTGTAGATTTTAATTTTGATGGCACATAAATAAAACATTGTTTTCTTCAAACTTCTCTTTTCTGTTTCTTAGTTATTTCTGACAGAGCTGGAAAGGTGCTTTCACCTGACCAAAGATAGAATAATTGTCTCGGCCCCTTTCAGCTTATCTTTTCAGTATGTAAACTAGCAAACTAATTACCTAATATTGCATTTTATTTTTTGAATCTGCGTAAATTAAAAAAAAAAAAAAAGAAAAAAGCTGGCAATACTTTTTATCAAAGTTTGTTTAAATTAAGCTTATACAAGTCCTCTGAATGTTTTGGACAAAATGTATATACAAAGTGTATACCTTTTGTGTATACATAAGTTTTGTAATATTTATAATTTAAATGAAAGCTCCTTGAATTAGTTGGTAATGTGCAATGTGATTTAAGTAGTAGTTAGTATTATGAAGACCACTGACCATGTTAAGGGATTTATGACCTGTTTTATAGTTACTGCCATTACAGTTAAATATATGAAGAATGCGTTTCAAATCCCCAAATTATAACTAAGGAATATCCCATTTAATGTTATATCAGCTGTCAGAGTTGAAACATGCATATGTTTACTGAACAGTTTATATCAAATACATATAACATTGTTTTGTCATACACTCTGGAGTCAGAATCATGAATCTAACAGTTGACTCATTGACATTCTCAATTGCAGGTTGTCTTCATTAAGATTTCTTTTTACTGCAGATTTTACAGTTTACGCATGTGGGAAATACTTGATTTCAAGTAGTTAAAAATCTTTCTATTTCATCTGTACCAGCTAACCAGTTCTCTTGCTGTTTTCAGTTTCCCATATGGATAACCCAGACAGTGAACTAGTTCTGTACTTGATGTTACGGGCTGTGGATAGATTTTATAAGCAGCATGGTAGATATCCAGGTATGTTAATACCAGACTTACTTCACGTCATCGAAAGACATACAAAGATCGGATAGTTACTGTAATACTAGTTATAAACTACACATACAGCCTTAGTTGTGGTTTTGTTTACATATTGATAAAACTTTGAGAATGTGAAAATTAAAGTGATGATTTTTTCTCTTTGGGAACTTGAGGAATTTATCTGAATCAATACCACTGAAATGGGTTGCATGGATTATTAATTGGTTCAGCGATGCAGTAATTTGTCGTGATCATGAGTAGCATCAACAGAATATTCAATTATTATTCATTTAGTATTAATAATGTAATACATTATTTGGCTTAGAAACTTTTCAGAAAAATAAAATACTTATGCTGCCATTTAAATCCATTAACTCTGAATATGGTGTTACAGTTCTGTGGTGAAACAGGTAACTTATTTTCCAGGTGTCTACAACTATCAGGTAGAAGATGATATTGGAAAACTAAAATCCTGCCTTACTGGTTTCTTACAAGAACATGGGTTGTCTGTAGTGGTGAAAGATGACTATGTTCATGAGTTGTGAGTATTGTATCTTAAGTGTCACTTTGTTGGTAAAGCTGACCTGAAAATACTAACTGTTACTTTGCTGTCCAGTTGTCGCTACGGAGCTGCTGAGCCACATGCTATTGCTGCCTTCATGGGAGGTAAGAATGTCACAGTATTTCTGAGGTCCGTTCAAACAAACCAGCCTGCTGTAGTACATACTGGAGTCAGAATCTCCACTGTTTTAATTACTTTGTACTGTCAGAGCAAAGACTGTAATCACAGACTGTAGTCAAAGATAGTATTAGAACAAAATCCCTCCCCTCCATTCTCCAAATGTGACCTCCTATGGTATAATGAGAAAGCGGGCACAGCAAGGGCTTAAAGTCAGTAAAAGAAACAAAATAAACTTTAAAAATAATCTCAGTAGGACGATTCTAGTAGCTTAAAAATGTGTTTAAAAATAAAATGCTTGAAAGAAGCTTTGAGTTTAAAAACAAAAGGAAAGGCGTAATTGTAATATTAGAATCAACACAGTACGCATCTTCCTTAACACAATACACTTAAGTATCTATTAAATATAAATAGCCTTGATTGCTTACCTTAATTCAACCTGCATGTATTATCAAAACTAAATACATTTTAATGGATGCTCAAAATTGATAAATCAGTTAACTTACCTCCTTTATTTTTATTCATGACGTGCTGAAGATAATTATATATTAAACATTCTGGATGTAGGATTTATTTTTTTTATTAAGTGAAGCTCGGTATGTGCAGTGCTTTAGAAAAATATGTAAAGATAACTTCTGAAGAAAGTACAGAATATTTCATACTACAGGAGAACACAAAGGGATCACAGTGAAGTGACTCTTCAGTTTATTTTACAGTTTAACTGTGCATGATGTCTTTTAATTGAACTTCTCAGTTCCATTTAGAGAGGTCACAACATGCACGGGTCTGTCTGCTCACACGTTTTTACTCTGTGTGTATGTACATAGAAAGTATATACAGCGAAGTTTATGTAAAGCTGACTTTTGAAGTAACAGCTTCCTGAGCCTTTTTTATACATGAAGTACTGAAAAGCATTTTTTCCTCCTAGGAGTTGTATCAGGCACTTCTGAAATAATTCCAGTGTAGTGAGTTCTAGATAAATACACTCTATTACTGTTTTTTAAATATGACTTGCTAACTACCTTCTGTTTGGTTTTTGGTTTTTTTTTTCTGCTTTTACAGGAGCTGCTGCACAGGAGGTTATCAAAGTCATTACAGGGCAGTTTGTAATTTTTAATAACACCTATATCTACAGTGGAATGTCACAGACTTCAGCGACTTTCCAGCTGTAGGATAACGATCTCGCGTTATTTGCCACCAGGCGCTGTGTTCTGTAAATACTGTGGTGGTCTGCCACTGACTGGACTGTTCTGTATTACCTGTGAATTAAAGTTCCTTTATTTGTAATGATTTTATCTTCTTTTTTTCCTTTTCCCCTGAGGACAAATAAAATCCTACCAAATCCTGAATTTTTATTTTTTTTTTTTAAATCTAGAATTTTCTAATTGGGCTTTGAAACAAAAAAAAGCAGCAGCTGTTCTTTGACACGGTAAGTTGCATTTACAAATTGGCTCACCTGGTTTGCAGCGGAGATGAATTTTTGTCATTGAAGCTGCTCTTCAGGTTGAGGCGGGGGAGGGCTCGCAGTTACATCCTCAGACCGCCAACCTGCGAGCCCTGGAGCTGTGCAGGGGCCCGGCCGGGCCGGGAGGAGGGAGGCTGGAAGACGGGCCGAGCCGGGCGGTGCCGCCTCCTCAGGGGCCGGGCGGGGCGGGGCGGAAGGCGGGAAGGGCGCGCGGCTGAGGGCTCTCCTCAGGCCGGCGGGGCTGAGCCGAACCGCTTGCCGGAGCAACAGGTACCTAATTTCTCATTTCCACTGTACTCCCCGCCTCTCCCGAAAGCTGGCAGAAGAATGCTTTTGCTGCTTTATCTCTAGACTGTTGCTGCCCCCTCTTTTTTTTTTTTTTTTCCTCTGAAATCTTTTATACGTCCTTTTTCTATTTGAGATGATCTGTATTACTTGTTAAGACTTCAAAGCGGAGCTTGTGGTAACGAGCTGTAAATCATACATGGCTCACCTGAGAGGGAGGAGGGATGGGATGAATGCTAAAATCACACCGGACAACTTCAAAGGTCTGTGACACGGAACAGCGTTCCTCAAAAGTTAGCGGATGCGTCCTCGGCTGCTGGTGAGAATTTTGGTTTCAGTAGGACACCAACAATCCGCACGTCTGCCGCCATATGGGATTTGACTGCTGGGTTTTAAAAGGGGAAAAAACTGGCTGTTCGTATCCCGGTGTGGCTGTGTGGGGCGAGTCTGGCATTGCCATCGGCCGCCACAGGACCTGCGCTAACCCCCGTGTCGGCCTGCGTCCAGGCTCTGGGCTCTAATGCTGATGATTAATACACCTCTCCTTTTTTAAAGAGTGGGTTTTTTTGAGGTTTGAAGGGATGTTACAGAGTTATTTTCCATAAATGATGGGGAAGAGGTAATCTATTTTCCCTTATGTGCAATGTTTGCCAGAAGTCTGTTGAAGCAAATCCTGTTATTTATCTTTTCATCTTTGCCCTGTGATACAACAATAGAGTTGAGCTATTTGTATTTTAATGTCAGCTGGCTTATAAATATTAATTTGTGTACCTTCTGTATGTTGCAAAAGAAAAAGATCCAGTTAAGGTCAAGGTATACCTTCCTATAGTGTTTAAGAAAAAAAGTGCTTCTTATGTTCAAGGGTCTTTGATTGTATAAATGTGTATTTAATTAAACTTTACTGAAATGAAACTAGCTCCAAAGTAATCTCATTTCTACAGCCTTTCTTTTGTTAAGGACTACGTAGGTAGCTTTTGTTTTCTCTTAGGGTCGCAGGGTGGTATCAGTAGGGGCAAAAAGAGGTGAGGAAGATTTGCAAGGTTTCTCCTATTGCGGCAGGGTTAGATTTGCAAGAAAATTAAATGCATGTATGTTATTACTTCTGAAAGGGTAAAGGAACATGAACTCTTATTAAACTTTCCCCCTCAAAACACATGCTACACCAGTGCTACTGTAAGGACGTGTATGGAGCATTTGGACCAATGGAAGCAGCAAAGAAATAGGGGCAATCAGTAACTCTAAATGGAAAGCGGGGCTGTCTTCCTTCGTTAAGATGATACTGATATTTTTTGGAGCCTTTGCTCTACTTTGAGAAGGATAACTAAACCATTATTAAGCTGGATTTATCACCGATTTAAGGTTTCTACCTGGAGCTAAATAATTTTTGAGAGATTGAAATAGGTTACTGAGATGCTTAGATCAACTTTTCTTTGTGTTTGGGACTTGGGGCATGGTTAAGGGACCATCTTTCTGCTTCCAAACCTGAATTTCAGTCTGACAGCTGCTCAACTAGCTCTCAGATCCTGGCACATTAGGCTTACGTAGAATCGATGCTGTGGGGTTTTCTGGTTTACATGGTTCACGTAATGCGATAATTTCTTCGGTGAACAAAAATAAATTCTTAGTTTAAGAAATAATGTCTCGGTTCATGCTTGTTGTCTTTGGTTTTGATCAATACCAATAAAACAACATAGTTATGGTTTAGTGGCTCACTGAGTAGCAGTAGGAGGCTGATGACAAAGTTTGCAACCTGTTGTAAAGAAAATTGGATCAGATTTATTGTGATAAATGACACACAGCTGAGTATATTTTTAATGACAGGGACGTTTTTGGTGCCCCACGATGGTAACCTGATTCACATGATTTCTGCAAAATGTTAACTTTCAAGTCATAATAATACAGTAGTTACAAATGCAGTGTTACTATAAAATACTGTACTTCCAAAGAAAATCTTTCCTGTGCAAGAGCATATTAAACTGTACATGTGTCAGATGACAGTGTAAGACTAGAAAATTGGAGTCTATTTTAAGAAAAAATACTTAATTTATACTGCGTATAATATGAACGCTGCTAATCTAAACAGAAAAGAAAACACTTTTTCCTTGCCATTGTAGAACAAGAACAGGGATACAACCAAAAATGGAAACTCAAAATGTGCAGAAAAAACAGTGTGGTAAGATACTAATATAGTTTATCCTTTATTGTCCACATCAACGTTACAAAGTTTTAGTAGACTGTGATAGGTCTGTCATGGAGTGGTGAGCTGTTGGAGAAACATTCTTTTTGCTTGTGGGCAAATTTTTTGATTCTGTATTGCATAGCTAAAGGGCAAATCTAATGACAAACTTTCAAAGAGTAAACAATATCACCACAAAGTCACCTCTTTTGCTAATATTTATCCACATTTTTATTGTATTTTAACTTCCTTAAGAAACCCTAAAGCTTAGAATTGTTTAAAATACACAACATCTCCTGTTACTGTTGCAAATAATTACCTAATAAGTATTTGTATTATACCAAAGAGACTAAGAAACAGAATTTCAACGTGGTTTACCTACCTAGGGTTGTATGTAGGTGTCCAGAAAAATGCTTTGTGTTAACTCACTAACCTAACAACCTGATTCAAGATTCTAGCTGCTGTGGTACTATTCACACTGCAGATTTTCAATTGTCACTGAATATTTTCATGGTTCTGTATTATCCACTTAAATGCATTTAATGCACCTTCCAGTTGTGAATTTAATATTTAGTAATTTAGATCACATTTACTAACAGTTACTAGTAATTGAAGGCTGGAAATATTAAAAGGGGGCTGTTACTTTAGTAAAAGAAATCATGCTCAAACAATAAACTGTGGAGAGGAATATTTTTAGGTTAAGTATATTTGGTATTAATAGATGGATAAAAGTGTGTTAGCTCCATTTTTGTTCACTGCTGGGTTGTTTTTTTCTTTCTTCAAAATATGCATACTACATTTTTGGGCAGGTTTATTGTAATACTAAATCGATTAATGTAAAGAAAAGATAGTAATTTACATGAAGGTTTTTTTGTGTTTGCTCTTAGATATGAAAACAGATCTGAACTTACTGCTTGAATGCCTCAAATACCAGATGGACTGCCCTGCATCTCAGAAAGAGGCTTTGATCACTATTTATTCAATTTGTCAACAGAACAGTAAGAAGCATTCTTCCTTAGAAACAACACAATTTTCTGTTCACAAGATACGTTAAGAAGCTGGTTGTCACTGTAAAAAAAATATTTAGCAGATATAAGGCTTGTGAAGTTGCAGAATCTTGGAAGGTTTTCATTTTACAGAGAAACAAAAACAAAAGTTTAATTTTTGTTCTTTTTTTTCTGTTATAGGTGAAGCAAGTGAATATTTTCGAGAAATTGGTGGTTTGATGTTTATAAATGATCTTGCAAAGTCAAGTGTTCATTGCATAGTAAAGGAAGCGGCTTTATTTACATTAGGAGTTATAATAGAGAGTAATGGTAATAATAAGCAGTAGTATTTGTATTTCTGAGTGAGTTATGATCCCATGTTATTACTTCTGCTTGTGCTTTGTTTCCATTTTTTTTTCTTCTCAAAAAATCAGATCACAAGATTATCAGCTCGACTGAGGGGCAGTAAAGCTGCCAGTGTTTCACTGTCCATCCCCAGATTTGGAGAAATACCTTGTTGATTTGTGTGGACAGCATGTTTTTATGATACCAGACAGCTGTACTACCTCTCTTCCTCAGCAGCAAGTGCTAAACGACTCTCAGATTGTTCCAAAGTTTTCCTAGGTCCTGATTGCGTTAGAACTGACCATAGGGGGAAGCCCTCAGTCACCTTATAGTCCTGTTTTATCTTCACTCACCACATACTGGATGCAACCGAGGCTCTAGTTACTATATTACAAAAATAATTCAGGATTATGAATGGCTTGCTTTAGGACTTAATGGTTTTTATTTTCTGGTTTCAGTTTATTGTCAACAGACTTTGTGTACTTCTGCATTGTTTGAAGACCTCATTTTATTTCTAATTAAAAAGGATTCTGGTGTGAACTTGAAAAGAATGTCTGTTTATGTCATCTTAGTACTGGTTTCAAATAACAGTAAGTTGGGGTTCTTTTCTGTGTTATAACACCAGTTTATTCTGCAGTACGGAACTTTGGAACACTCGATAAGTAAAGTTTTGGTAAAGTTAATTTATAAAGATGAATGGTTGCATGTAACTGAAACTGAATTGGCTAAGTAGATCATCGCTCACTGGGATTTCCTTAAGTAGCAGAAAGTGGTTTAGTTTTAAAAATGAAATTATAGTTTAAAAAAAACCATAATGCAAACCAGTAGTTTCTGACAATGTATAGAAAGAAACATTTTTGTCAATGTGTTGGTGTGATTTTGTATTTATTTGGGGGGGGATATGTGCTTAGGAAATTGAAATAGAATGTAAATATGTAAATTAAACTTGACATTAAGATTTTGTCTCAAGTTGCACGTGTCTTTGGAGTCTTGTATGTGTTCATTTTTAGAAAGTGGGCAAACCTATGTCAGAGATACAGGCTGTATTGGTCTTCTGCTACAGTTATTCAGGTAAACAGTTGCAATTCAAACAGAAAAATGATAGATTATTTAGGACTTGCGTTAGCTTGACTATTTGGGACTTGTTTGCATTGTTCTAAACAGAACAACTCTTTCCACATCCAAGATGAATCTGTCAGATGAAAATACCAACCAGTGCTATCAACTGTGGTCTTCAGTCTGCAGTACGCTCTGTGCCTGTGTTAACAATCCTCAGAATGGTAAGTGTTGCTGTCAAAATTCTGGGGGGAAAAACAAAAACAAAAAAAGTTTGAAGTGTTTCTAAAAAGTGACAACAGTTTATTTTCATTTTTACTATTCAACTGAAATTTCATATTACATTTTGATTTGGGGTTATTTGTTTTTATTTTTCCAGAAGATAATCAAAACATTTGCTGTTCAGTTTTTCCATATGCCAAAGAGTGGCTCGAAAGTTGCACGGAGCCTGAGATAGTTCGTCCCATTTGTTCATTTGTTGGTCTCACAGTTGCAAATAACTGTAAGTGCAGCTCAAGCTTTAAAGAGTTTTTCTTTTGTAAATTATGTTAAATTTGATAGTTAAATGTTTTATTTTTGTCAATCTCTACAAATTCATTTGCTGTTTTTCCAACTTTTACTCTGAAAACTCTGTTGCACCATCTTTAATTACACTGCATTGTGCTTAAATTCACAAATAGCCACAACCTGTCTACATTTAGTAAGGTCGGTAAAAAATTTGGAAGCTGTTTTGATTAAAAGTATTTTACAAATATAAGTCATTATTCCATCTCTGAAAATGACGACTTCAGTAGAACTTGGGCATGATGTTTTCCATTTGTATGCATGTATTAGGGTCATGTGTTTCCTGTAACTATTTTATAAGGCAATTACTACATTTCTCAAGATTAATATATATCCAACTTCTGTTGTATGGGTGGAAATGTAATGTTTAATACATGCACAGAAAAAATGTGTTGAGCCTAATTGATAAAATGCTAAAACAATTTGCATCTTGTATTATTTAAGACAATTTTTTTTTTCTTTTTTTCATGAAGCATACGTGCAGAAATATTTTGTTTCTGTTGGAGGATTGGATACATTAGCTAAAGTCCTCATCAAGCTTATGCATGATTCCTGTACAAGTCACTCAAGCACAAAACTTGCGGTAGTAGTAACGAAGACCCTGGATGCCTGCATTGCTAATGACTGTGAGTGGAAAGGCTGCTACCATTTTTTATATATGGTAATTTTAAAATGCAATTTTTAAAGTCTGTTTTTGATGGAAAAGTGATATGAATGGGTGCTAAAAGGCAATTAAGATATACATCCAAGCTGATACTGCAGGTTTTTAAAAGTTCAAAGGTTTATATGGGAGTGATTCAGTTCATCTGAGGTAGCTTCCTTTCCCTTTGTTGCTAAAATGAACGTAGTGAAATTTAAGTTATACTGAAAATTATAAATAAGATAGTAGAGCTAGTTTTGTGTAAGTAAAGCTGAGAACTGGGCGTGGCAGTCATCTTGGATCTGGGAGTTAGGGCTGTGTTTCTGTAGGCCTATGCCTAAGTTAATAAACTTTGTAAGCTTTAAGAGGCTTTAGTAACTCATGCGTGGAGCTGGAGAAATGTGATATGTCCACATAACACATCTTTACTCGCATTTACTGTCTGGATGGTGCTAACCTAATGAGATCTTTGTGTCTCGCATCAGGAGATTTTGAGAAACCTGTAAGCCTGATGAAACTGTGCTGTTGGCCATGATTATTATATTTGACACTTCTGCCATAAGTGCTCCCTAACAGAGGTTCAAAAAAGTTTAAAAGCATATACCCTCACTAGTTTTGAGCCTAGTTTCAAAGCAGTTGGTATGTGACAGGATTAGGTTTCAACATGTATGTACTAGCAGTGGTGTTCCCAGTTTCAGGAAGAGGTTGCCCTCTACCAGAAATGTTCTTAGCTGGTTTTGTGGCAGATAGTCTGTGTGTCAAACCTTATTTTACTCTTTCTTGCTCTATTCTGGAGCTGATAAAGGATGTGGAGAAATTCAGCAGAGGTCTACAAAACTTGCTCGTTGCAAAGCCCTGTTTATCAGATTTCCTGCCCCATCTCTGTACAGCCCAATCTGGGAGAAAGGGCAGTGGTGGATATGGGGAGTAGCATGGGCAGAATTACTGCACCAGGAGGGATGTGGTAATTTCAAGTGTTAAAGAGAGAGAAAAGGAGGCCTCTGCAGGCCCAAGGCTTTTAGAGGTGTGTAGAGTTCCTTTGGAAAACCAGCATTTTATTCTTGGATGATGCCTATGTACTTACTATCTAGTTTATTTTTCTTCAAATTATTTTTAATGTATTAGCTGCCATGGGTGTGGTGTTGACAAAGTATCACACTGTGTCGGAGCTACTGAAGCTGTTGTCCAATGACACTCTGGATACAGGAGAAAAAATTAGTATTATTCTAACAATTGGACACTGTACCGAAGTTTGTGGTAAGATTTTTTTCTTTTTTCTTTCTGTCGGTTTCTACTAAATTCTCATATACTAACTACTTCAATGGTGTCATTTCATCAAGATTGAAACATGAGGGAAAGTTCTATTAAATAATGTAATATTAATAATCAGGGGGAAAAAAATTGCTGTAATAGTCCATCCTTAAATTTTAAAACCTGTTAGCAGATAGTATCTTTAAGAGCTTAGAAAAAGTAGACTACTATGCAAGAATTCAGAGCTGGGCTTAGGTATCACAGGGTAAAATTCATCCAGACCTGAAAACTAATACAATACATACATACCAAATAAGTCTTTTTCAGCTCTGTTTTAATGGCCCTTGATATATACAGCTTCTGTCCGCTGTTTACACAGCCATTATGTTATTTAAAAGCTATATAACAGTATTGGTTTTGAAGTAACATAAGCAGTAGGTAACCCTAAAATGTTTTTGGCAAGTTCCTCAGGGCTTTCCGAAGCAGATCTGGTGAAAATATAACACTTAAGTTGGTATTTGACGGTAGTACAAGCAAAGAGAAAGGGAAGTTGTGAGATACTGATCACTGTTTATTTATACTACTGTTTTTTTCATGTCTGTACAGAAATGCAGGAAAAAGGGATTATGTTCAAAAATCCTGATTATCATCCTATAAATTTCAACAGGTTCAATAATTAGCTCAGTAGGTCATAATTCTGATATTTTAAAAGACACTTTTTCATGAAGAATTAGTGGAAACAAAGCTTAGTGGAAAATGTCTTTCAAATACAACTATGATTAAACCAACAGAATAAAAGTTTCTCTTAAAACATCAACACTGACAAAATAATCATATTTGATCTTTCGTTGATTCCTTTATTTTATCAAGTTTGGACAACAAAGAATTATTTTTAGAAAGTTGTCCGTTTTATGAATGCATACTGCAAATGAGATCGCAATAAAAACATCTAGCTAATTACATAGTTAACAAAGAGGAACAGATTAGCTAGACCAGGATTAAACTGCTACTTTTATTAGAGTTTTGCTAATTATAAACTTTAAGCTTTTGGCATTTCTGCATCTCAAGGCTTACATAAATGTAGCATATATACTTTAAGAGTATATACCAGAGGAAAAGAAATACAGAAGCCATAATTAAAATATTTTAGGTGACAATTAAATGAGTTTGGATCTCTGTCATATAATCTGTCTTAGTCCTCCTTCAGTATTCTTACAAGAACTTTGAGCTATAGTCAAATCACCCTGTGCGATCTAGAGTGCTTCTGCTGCAACCTGGGTAAGTTGGTCATTACAGCATGCTTGGATCTATAATGAAAATCTCTTTTTTGGAATTTCCCTGAAAGTTACTAGTATTAGTTTCTAAAATTATGGTAAGATTAAGTGCGTATGAGGCTGAAGCCAATCTAATTTTCCTTTACAATGTCGTATTTTAGAAGAAAACCAGTGTGAACTGCTCCAGAACAATGGTCTTCCACTTATGATTCAGGTATTAACCGAGTCTCAAGATGAAGAACTAAACAAAGCAGCTACTTTTGTGCTGCAAAACTGCAAACAAATGAGTAAGCTTGCTATTATTGCTTTAAAAATTACAGAGATTATTTCCATCTTGAAGTTCTGTTGACTTTGTAAATTATTTTAACTGTATCAGCTTTGTAATTCTGTGTACTGCAAGAGATGTTTATTTTCTGCAGAAAAGTTGCATATTTGCCACCATGGACTGATGATGGCATTTGGGCAGGAAAAAGAAAAGTAAAAATTCCAAAGATATTGCAGTAATGCATTTGTGAAACCTATCTACGTAGTTCTTAAAAGCTTTCCCATTTATAAATTACCTGCAAAATGTTAACTTTGTCATTTAACATGCAATCGGGACTCTCTTCCTCAGTATGTACCATTGTATATAGATACTAAACCAGTAGATAATCAAGCCCAAAATCACCATGACAACAATTATTTTGCAATATTAAAAAATCTTGATCTTTAAGTAGGGTGTATTGTGAAGTATCCTGTTTAAGTTTTTTTTTTTTAAATTAACTCTAAAGCATGGAAGGTATTATGCAATTAATTAGTAAAATGCACGTATCTACATTTTTGTACTGAAAACATAACTGAGTGTTTTGCTTAAGATTGAGGGGGTATGGTGATTTTCAGTGTCCATTAATATGGAGTTGTTTTTTTGAAAAAACAGAAACCCATACTGGTAAAGGATCTACAGAGTTAGGATTAAGTCCATGATAAAGTCAGGTTTTAGAGCACATCATCATTGTGTAAAGAGCTTATAGTAACTATAATTGCAAGCTCACCTCTTGTAACTGCAGTGTATTAATGTTTATGTGTAAATTTAAATTAAGTTATACAAAAATTATTATTCTGAGTTATATTTTGCATTAAATTATTGGGGCTATCCCTCAGCATACTAAAATATAATAAATACTTATGAAGGTGTTCAGTAATTAAAATTTGGAATATTAATATTGTTTTATATTTTACAAAGCTGAACAATTGTCCCTGAAAATAAATGGTAATTCATTAAACGTGAACAATGCTGAAGAGTTGGACGTGCAAGTCAGAAAAAGAAGTCTACAAGACTACTGGAAGAAAGCAAAAGAAATTTTACACAGAATAAAGTTGATTGAAAAAGAACATGATGAGGTTGGCCTATTTACCAAAGTAGGATAAAACTAAGCAAATCTTTCCAGAGTTTAGGCAGAAATACAAAGTAAACCCTTAAGATAATTTGAGTGCAAACTTGAAAAGCAGGGAAAACATTGGACGTGTGTGAAACTACAACCTGCAACTTCTACAGTGTATCATACAAAGTCAGAAGTATGCAGGTCAATTGGAGAATGCAGGCATCTGTATTTTTATTAAGCTTTTAGTTTATTATAAAAACAGATTTTTCTGCAATATTGAGATCGCTTAGGTTGGAGAAACAAGCATTGCATTTATTTTTAATTGCTGATCATTCAAACCTATAATTTTAATACTTGCATCCATGAAATGCCCATGACTGTACAGCTATGACAGGGTAAATGGTAATGGAAGATGCAAACATAAACTGGAACACAGTTCTTTCGTATTTTCTTTGTGCTGTGTAACTACTTGGTATCTCTGGGTGTGGAACAGCAAGTTTTTGAGTTCTTTAGCTGGATCTTAACTTAATTAAATCTTTAAGTGCCTTGTAAAGGGTTGTCAAGCACTGGAACAGGCTTCCCAGGGAAGTGGTGGGATTTTCATCCCCAGAGGGATTGAACAGACGGGTAGAAATGGTGCTTAGGAACATGGTTTAGTGGCGGACTTGGCAATGCAAGGTTAACGGTTGAACTCTGTCATCTTAAAGGTCTTTTCCAACCTAGATGGTTTTATGATTCTATCAGTAACAAATCAGTTGCTTCAGCCTGGAACTATCACTTAGTAACGACCCCTTCAACACCTCCAGCAGCACTGCTGTCTTGTTGGGTCTCAACTCAGTCTGGGGTTTTTGAAGCTTCTCTGGAATTTGCATTACCTTCAGAGTTAGACTGGTCTGTCCTAGTTAATCTTGTTACTAGATTCATTTAATATTTTTATAGCAGTCATATAGTTGCTAACTAGTATTTTTCAATATAGGGAAGAGCGCAAGGAAGATTAAGTGTCCACAGCTCTTCAGAAGACAGTATTGAAGCATCAGAATACCATGAAGTGAATCCTGCTGATGGAAAAACTTATACAGAAAGAACACATAAAGTACATTGTCCACACTTGACCTCTAAGTCAAATGATCAGGTTCTTGCTCCACCTGTAGATTATTCTCCACTGAAAAACGAAATCGTGAACACTATGGATCCAGTAGATGCTTGTACTAGACAAAGCGATCAGAGTAATATTTCCTGTTCAGTTAATGAGCTGCAAACAGATGGTGCACTTCAAAGTTGCAGAATAAATGAAAAAACTGCTTGTGTAAAAAATCTGCCTGTTCTTCAGGTAAGGTAAGTATCTTACACCTAAACAGAAATACTAAGTTGTTTTTCTTTAGTAATTTCCAAATTGAATGTCAGCCTTTGAAATTATCTGTTACTAACTATGTCTTTTTCTCCTAGTGAAAAGACATAGCCTTTTGGTGGCCCACTAGAGAATATTCTGTGGAAGTGGTTTTGACATCACAGATCAAAGATCATAGACATTGTAGTAATAAAAGCTTCTGATCTTTTTCTCTGCATGGTAGGCTTCTGACGGATTGTATAGAGAGCCTGCTACAGGCCATGTTCTAATGCCTTCAACATAGTGATGAAAAAGCATCCATAGTTTTTGCCTCAAAATTTTCGCTGATTCAGTAGACCAAGATTTGACCCATTGCTTTGGATGAAACCACAAAAACTTCTTACCAGGAAAACAGCAGTTACAGAACTGCTTTGCGAAAAATTGAAATTGGAGTGCCCACAATTAATTATAGGCAACTTGCAAGGATAAACACAGATTCCATTATCTTCAATTTATGTCTGGAATATCCCTCAAGACAGGCAATGAGAGAGTACAAGCAAAACTGCATTTCTCCTTTTTTTCTCTTTTTTTTTTTTTTTTTTTTTTTGAGTTCTACATTTTTATTGTGCTTTTTTATGAGGCTGGCTGGACCCTGCTCCTATGCAGTTTCCTTGCATGCATTATATTGTAACTTTGCAACTACCATAGAAATTATCAAGAGCCTAGGATACATTACCTGTGGTACATTCAGGTAAATTTTGCTTTGCTGTTGATTAGCATAATTTCATACACTTCTTTTTGTGGTTGTGACCTCTGAAGCACGAACTATTAAGAAACTAATTTTTTGGGGGGGGGAGGGGAGGGAGGGGGAAGCTCTCTCCTTGCATATATATTTGTGTCAAAACAGGAGTTACCCAAGCATAAGCATGGATTAGGCTCCTTGCTCCTGCAGCATTCGGAGGTAGTCAATGACACTGAAAAAACCACAATCGCTGTATCATAGGAACATGTTGGTTGCATAAAAGTTAATCAGTGTAAGAAAAGAAGAAAACCAATTAATTTTTAGAGCAATTGGTGAAGCATCTGGTGAAGGCTACAGTATTTTGAGGGCTTTGTGAAAGTTTTATGTGCACTAAGTAATCTTTATGTGAACCAGAATTGCAAATGACTCTGGAAACCAGCATCCCTTGAAAGCACTGCATTCCGAATGCTGGAACGTGTGCTGAACAGCACTGCAAGGAATGCTAATCATAGGTCTCTGGTAAACAGATTTCTAACACACAATGATTATATGCTGGATACTACTACAAGCCCAGTAACTTGGGGTAACTAGAATAATTTTTTTAGAGTTTTATCTTTTATATGCTTAATGTGTTCTTTGTTTTGCCTTTGGAATGTGTGTATTAATTTACAGGTAAATGTATGTTGTGAAGTTTGATTATTTTTTTTAATTTGTTCATGTTTTGATCTTCCCAGTGAACACTTATTTAAACAACCAGCAGAGATTGTTAAAAATATTAAACAGACACGCACATCAGGTACAAATACCTAAACATATTCCTTTCTCGAATAATTTTGTTCCTAATGAGATTTTAATTAGTTTTGTGTACTTTTATCACTACTTTTTATCAGATGTTATATATCATTAGATGTCAGAGTACATTATGTTTAGTATCCTTTAACTATTTGCTTAGTTTTGGAATTTTATATTGTATACAATTTTACCAGGAGAATATTTATTCTGCTTTTCTTGTAGTGCGTATTTTAGCTTTCTTTTTTTTTTTTTTAATTGGTTTTAACTATTCAGATGAATGTATCACAGATAAATATCTTAAGTTTAGTCTGAATGCAATCTGTACTGGACAATGAAAGCCATTAATAGAAAATGCAAAGATGTGGGGTTTTGTTCTGTACTTGTAAGACGGGATAGAACCTACCTGTGAGAGTGACTTTGGCCTGAAGATATTCCTACATGTTGAACATGTTGAAGAGGCACGTTTTTCAGATTTGCATTGATCTTCTTAGTCTGATATATTTAGTTCAGAATTGGGATTTGTTCAATCAAATCTATCTTTATAATTTAGTTTCCTGTTAATTAATAAAATTTATAATTATTCATTAGATTAGTATTTCCTAGAATGGTAGCTTTACAGAAGACCAAGCTGATCTCCAGGTTATACCTATTTCAATGGAGAATAAGTATTAGTCCAGTACATCACATTTTTCAGCATCTGTTTCCAAATAGAAATAAAGTTTATAGGGCTTAGTTAAGCAATGTAAGTTTACAGGGTTATTTTGCTGTGTTCAAGTTGAAGTAATATGCTTTGGGAGATGAAAAAGCACTGAATTAAATGTAATTATTCTGGATTTATAAAAATGTAAATGCAATCCATTTAACTTCAGGAATTTCATTTGGATTTTCTGCTGTTATTTAAATTAAACTTTAATTATCTACAGATGAAGAATACAATTGAATATAGGTATGCTGATGCATGATTACCACTGCAAAGGATAGCCTGCATTTTCTCAGTGGGTTTTTTTCCTTCCTAATTTAGATCAACATTCATTCTACTCAGAGAGAACCAGGGAAGAAAAAAGTACTTCAACTACATCTGCATCCCATAAAATGGCAGATTTAAGGTGTATAGGTAAATATTATCTTGGGTCTTTCTTTCCTGAGCCCATAAAAGAAGCCTTAAAGAGTCAGCAATGCAGTAAATTAACTGACATTACAGAAATTTTAACGCATCTATTTAATTACCTATTATGTTATTCAAACCTAAGCTAGACTTATCATGTATTCAGGTTAATACAGATAAGTGTTACAACACAGAGAAAGTTTCAAAATGCAGCAAAGAGGTCTTGTACGTTTTGGCTCCTGGATAAATGTGCAGAAAGAACTGAGGCTCTTTTTTTCCCATCCCACTAATATTTTTACTTCTATAGAGCATCCGTGCTTCATTTAGTACTTCTGGAGTTGAAGTGCAGCATAACTTGGTCCCATAGCTCATGTTGAAAACACTTTTTTTTTTTTCTTTTTTAAGAGAGCAAGTACAAGACAAGAAGTATTTTCAGTAAGATACATAAAAGTGTAACCTCTTTTGAGATGTTTATGGAAAACTGGAGGACAAATTGTAGATGATAGTGAGCAAAATAAAACGCTGGACTCTGATGGCTTCTAGAGCATTCATGCTTCCTGCTTCTACAATATCCTATTTTTTTTTCCAGGCTGTACAGCAGGAGGACTGTCCTTCAATAGTAAAACCTTTACCAAGATGTTGCAAAGTTGTCCATACCAGTGTGAACGTCACAAAGTCATTCTGGAAGCTGAAGAAAGATATAAAAAGGAACTTCGCAAATCAGCTGTTTGTAACAAAAGTAGATATGCAACTTATGAGAGTAATTATGATTCTTTTTTTTTCGTAGTTGTAACTATTGTTTTAAATTGTATTTAAAATTCTGAACTTTTTTTTTGTCTGATTCTGATTGTCCTGCTCTTGTAAACTCGCTCATTTAATTTGATTTACCAATGGTTTGTACTGAGTGCGATCAGAACTAGCCCCTTTTGTTTTGAGGATCTTGTGTATTTCTTGGCAGTAGTGATATATCCTTATTGTAGGCTTTGATGAGACTCTGTCCTGTTTGCCAAAGTTAGTCAAGTACTAATAGAAGGGAATATATTAAGTTTAAAACAAGGTAATTTCATTCTGATATTACATACTTATGGATGTAAGAGGCTTACAATTCTTAATTAAATAAAAGCGCATCCTATATTTTTCTGGTTTATTGAAAGTTAAAGTTATTACTTACTGGCATTTGTACTGGTGTCCGTCTTATATTTTCCAGAAATACTGCTGACCCCAGTGAGGAAAGAAAGACTGCATACAGAAATATCAACTTCTAGGAGCAAAAAGGATAGTTTTGAAAGTAAGGGCTTGGCCTGGAAATGAATGCAAAAAGCCCTTACTATCCAAGTAATTCTTTGGCAGGAGTTTACCATGGGAGGCTGTGGATACGGAGTTATAGGTGTTTTTTTTCTGTGGATTCTGTGAAAAATCTGTATATTAATAGGCCAGAAAATGCATATTCTATAATAATGAAAATGTGTTGTGCACATTAGTTCACAGTGAAGTTATCTGGTGCTTGCTTTGTCAATACTGGTTTGAATCCTGTCAGGGTTATTTCCGTGCCATCTGTTATTTTTCGGGTTTGTGGCAATTATTTTTAAAATTGAGAGGTATACTCAGGATCAGAACACAGGAGAGTTGCCTGCTCCTGGATTCACCATCGCTATTTTACAGTTATAGCTATGTTATCCTATTACACCTGTTTCCATTCCGCTTGGAGCTCTGCTAAGGACTTGGGTCTCTGTGTGCTAAATAGCTAAAAGGGGAAACCTTAATGTATACAACAATACTAGGACAAGTAACGGAAAACAACTCATCAGAAAATTAAGTACAGGAGATCTGTTTGCCTGTCCCATATTATGAGGTGTTGAATAAGATGTTATTAACAAGGTAGAGATGGAAAAGTGAATATAAGCTCCACTGCCTTCTGCAGCACAGTTTAGGAACCCTATGTTTACAGAACCATCAGCTGCCTAGAAAAACTGGTATTCTTTCTAACACACAACAACTGTCCATTTGTAAATAGCAGAGTACATCTCTTTTACAGTATTTTATTCTGTAATGTAGCAAAAAATTAATGGTTACAATTTTTTTTTTCCTTACTGTGTGGATAAATATTTCTTACATAATTCACAAGGAATTTTCTTCAGAATGTGGTGTTTGTGGGTGCGTCCTGCAGAGCTCCAACTGTAGTTGTACGTTACTACATTCAGCAACTAGTAACCAATACTGTTTCTTATGACTGATTGCCAGAAATTTTAAAGTAGGCTGAAGCAGCTCTCTAAAGCTGTACTTAAATTCTAAAACATCAATATTACTTTTAAAAATATTCTCTTTTAAAAAATCAGCCCACCCATCACAAATTTATTTTTAGTCTCCTATTTCCAAAACCCTTGTTTACATTGTTATTTTATTTAATTAATATCTGGTAAAAGCTAATAGATTTATTTTAATTTTTTTAATTATTTTTTTAAATCCCCCCCCTTCAGATTCAGAAATTAATTAATTTGGCTATGATAGCCATGGAAGTCTTCTAAAATTAAAAAAAAAAAAAACCAAAACCCCCAACTTTATTCCATCTCAAAACCCCATTACACTAACAAACATATTACCTTTAGCAAGTAAACACTTTCTGAAGTAAACAGATTTTTCCAATCTTTCTTCTAAGAACCAGATAGTAGTACAACTCAAAAGATGGTTCTCTGTTAAATTTTAATTCCTAAAACATTACCTGTGTTTTGTGGTTTTGTTGGGTTTGGGTTTGTGGTTTTTGGTTTTATTTTCTTAAGAAAGATATATAATGCTTTATTGATTGATTGTTTGTTTTTTAAGGTATTCTTTTGACTCCAATTAGAAAAAATAAATCTGATACTTCAAATAGAGATGAACGTTGCAAAAATACTAGGTTGACCGACGACTATAACTTGGTACCTATGTGTGAAAAGTGTGAGTATTACCAGAAAGTTAATTCTGTAACAGGCATAAATTAAAGATCAAGTTTTCATTTTGGTTGAAGCCCTGAGAAAAGCACCTGTGCTTGCTATTGGAGACAACTGGTTGAGAGTTTAAATAGATACATCTTGTGCCTTCAACCATAGTATTATTGATGTTTAATTCCCATTTGCTAGTTGTTTCCAATGCATAAATAATCCTCATGTGTTACTGTCTATGATGAGAAAAAGATCTAATAAAAATGAGGTGTTACTAATAATATATTCATATAGTACTAGAAAAATATATTCAGTTTCACAGTAGATTCCAGTTAAATTAACTAAGATATGGCCTTGTTCACAATTTCATAGCTTTCCAAAAAACCCAGGATGCTAACTCAAAGAGGCAAAGAGTCAAAGAAATGTGGAACCAGCAACGTCAGCGCTTAAAAGAAAATTGCATATATTCACTTGACAAAGATGAGGTTAGTTATGCAAAGCCTAATGATACACTCACCTATTTATAACTGTCCAAATAAAATCCCTAGGAGTTGCATAATTTCTTTTTAAGTCACCTCTAACAGGAGCCCAGTAGCAAAGTGAACCTTATTTAAAAGATACTCCTCTTTGTTGATTCTACTGCAGTCACACTGATCTATCCCTGAAATGAGTTAAGGCTTTTCCAGCTGAATAATGGATGTGGAGGTATGCTTTATCCTGCACTAACAAAAATTTACATAGTGTAGAAATAACAGAAACCTGAAGGAATAAACATACTAAAGGTATCAACTATGTCGGCATGACAGAAATGAAGGTAAAGGCCATGGAAACATACTGTATTTCACGAAGTGGTGGACAGTGGAAAAAATGTTGAAGAACCATTGCTATCTTGACAAGGTGATTGTTTCTGCAGAACCAGTTACGATTGTATTGTCAGAAATAATGTGTTACTTCCAAACGTGAGAAAATACGTAAATTTACATATTTTTTAATTACACCAAAATAAATATTTTCAGAACAATGAAGTATGTTCCCTGGACATGAACACAAGAACTTTAAACAAGAGAAGAAGAACCCGAAAAAATTTCACAACTGAAGAAATTAACTGTCTTTTGAGTGGAGTAAAAAAAATGGGTAATCACTGGAATTTAATTTTGTGGTCTTATCCATTTCAGAAAGGACGGACAAGTGTTGATCTTTCCAAGAAATATTACAGGTTACAGTTGCAAGTAATCATAATTTAATTTTCTACTAATCATATATGCTGTCGGCTCACTTTTCAGATTTTGACTCTGAATGGACTTGCAAAAAAAGGACAGGTTATCAGAATTTGCAGCCCGTGGGACTGTGCTGTGTGCCAGTGCCACGCCGTGCACGCAGAGTGTTAGAACGGGCTCTGAGATGATTCAGTCAGGGCTCCTGCCTGAAGAGAGCGGAACTGGGAGAATATTAGAGAGCCCTTGAACCCTCCAGTGCCAGCGGGCAGCATCCGGAGAGGATAAGAATTTCGGTTCAGGACTCTAAATGAAATGCTGTGTTTATTAGGAAGTTGGTATTTTCTCTGTTCAGTCTCTTCT